GATCTTAGAATGGTGATATTTATGATTTTATTTATGAGTTTCTAAATTTCCAATTGGGACAGGGATGCAGCCCGCCGGCAACCTACTTTCTATTATTTTGTTTTGACTCTTTTATGAAATTTATATTTATGAACATATTTTAGTTTTTTCAATTATATCTATTTCTCTTGTTTTTCATCTTGATTTTATGATTGGCCACCATTACATCAAATTTGTGGGTAATCTTGATAGATTGAGAGATGAAGAGAGAACCTAGATCTAGAGAAATAAACATAAATATTTATGCTAAAAATAATTCTAGATATTTGTGGTGACTTAGACTATAACTTCATGGTTTAATTAGTTGTTTGTGTATATTGTGGGAATGAATTCAGCACTAACCAAAAAGAGATTAATAATTGGGAAAAATATTATGACACTTTAGGAATAGTTGTCTCTATAATTGAATAAAGAATCAACTCAAAGGATAGAAACTAGCTACCTATAGGATGAGTTCTGAATCTCAATGTTTTAAGTGATGTGTTTGTTCTCATAACTAATTATCTTTTGCTTTTCTCTTTTATTCTCAATTCATCCTCTTTAAATAATTTGTTTTATTGCTTTTTCTTTAATTATTAATTATTGAGATTAGTAAATACACAACCTCCTTGTGGGTACGACCTCAAAATATTTTGGGATTTATTACTACATTGATTCTGCACACTAGCGGAGTGATCACCTCGTTTCCTTTAGATCACGAACCGCCAAAAAGCTACCTTATGGCTTAAAGATATGCTAGACAATTCAAACTACGTATTATTAAATTCTTATAATTAGATGTTTGTAAATGTTGGTATACTAATGCAAGATTGTTCAATTTTTTTTAAATCTATTTGTAAATTACATATGCCGGTGTGTGCGCGTTAAGAGAAGAGATTTTATTAAAAGGAACATGAAGCGTTAGGCAAAATAAAAACAGCATCATCGGATGGCGGCAGGCGGCTAATTAAGGTTTAAAATTTTATAATAGTTGGGGAGATTTAATTCTAGAAAAGTGCTTGTCAGTTATGCGTCCACAAACAAGGTTATGTGCATTTTATATTCATTGTTTACATCTCAACAGAAGGAAGCACCAGTTATATATATAATTTAATATAAGAGCTTGTTTGATTTTTATTTTGGTATTAAATATAAAACCTCAATCCACTATGTCTCTCATATTTATCTATTTTTTTCCTAAAGTAGTCTTTGTAATAATGATAATTCTAGTCAATACACTTAATTAGTAAAGATATTTTAGAAAAAAAAACAACACCTATTTATTATAAATAACTAACTTAACTAGTTTTTTTAATTTATTTAAATTAGTCAACTAATTTTTATATTAAGGATTTAAGGATAATATAAGCTAATAATAGAAATAAGGCACGATGAGTTATGTGGCTTATAAACCTGTCAGTAGAAAGCACAGTAGGTAGGGAACGAATGAAGAAAAGGACGAAAGGAAAGAAAAAGAAAGAAAAGAGAGGGAGAAAACCATCTATACATTCATGTATTCTGATTCGGTAGAGAAAAAAATATTTTTTTGCTTCTATTTATAGGATACTGGGAAAAAATTTTACATGAATATATAATTTTATCCTTCATTTATTATTGTATTGACTCTATTTATATTAGGTATAATATATATTAAATAGGGATAAAATTAAAAAGTTATCAAATTTTAAATAAGAATTAATAAAATTTAAAATTTTTTTTGATATGTCTAAAAGATGTAGGAAGTAATTTATAAATAAGACAAGAAAAGGATATACCTTTAACAGAATCCTATGAATATTTATTGGGCCAGGTGAAAAGTGAGTGGTCAAGATTCGCTGCGGGAGAGAGAGGACCATGCGTAAAACACAAAAGTAAGGAGAAGGAAGGGATAGAAAAAGGAAAAAGGAAAAAGGAAAACGAAGAAAAAAAATGGAAAAAGAAGGAAAAGGGGTGTCTATGAAGTATGTTATTTGTCCTTATGATCAAGAATGTTTAGGTAAAAATTAAATCATAATTTTAAAAATAATTGAGAGAATCCTAATTAAATCTGCATGAAATATCAAAATTTAAATTAAGGTTTACACTTTTAATAAATTCTTAATTAGGCCAAAAAAACCTTATTAGGGATTTCTTAATGTTGTTAAAAGACCAAAATGCACTTTCATAATATTATTTTAAAAACACAAAATTAAATTATGAAAATTTGACATTATATAGTATTTATTTATAAAAAAAATTTCGCGTGAGAAGATTTGGAAATACTAAGATCAAAAAATTGACAAATGCACAATAAAGTATTTTATATTAACTCTAATATATTGCTAAGAAATTTATGGGAACGTGGACTTTTTTCTAGTAACGTGAATAGAGACCTTTTACTTACCTGATTTCAACACCATTAAATTAATAAATTTTTGAAGGAAATTTTTTTCTTATAATTAAAAAATCAGAATCTTAATTATTAGTGGATTTCAACATCAAATTTGTCATTTCTTTCTTAAATGCTTTGTTATATTTGCCATATATACGTTCTCATCATGTTATATCTTATAATCTCGTTACTAAAATTCATACTAAAATTAATATGAACTTGTGTTAGAAATTTAAATAATTTTTCCAATGATGGAACGGATGAAATAATATGAATTTTTTAATAGAAATTTATATTAAAAAAAATACATTCTAGTCTTTTAACAACATAATGAGTAAGAATGTATGAAGTCGATAGATTATCTATCAGCATCTTAAAAATAAAGAAGCTAAGTCATAAATTAATTGGAGCAATTGCCAATTTGCTAATTTAAAAAGGCATTTTAGTCTTTTAGTAACATGAAAAAAATCCCTAATAAGGCCTCTTGGCTTAATTAGAGATTTATTAAAAATGAGGGTCTTATTTTGGATTTTGATATTTTAGCTGAGATTTAATTGGGATTTTTCAAAAAAATTTACAGTATACAAAATAAATATGTGAAAATTTTTTATCTCAACATATGTGAGAGTACTTTTTCAAAGTTTTTTTTGGATGTTTCCAAATAAAGGAAGGGAATTTAAAAGCAAAAAATGTAGGGTTTAACTCACTCTTTCAGTTTTTTTTTAATAAAAGATTTTAAGCTAACTTCAAGGTAATTTGAAATATCTTAAAGATTTAACCCGATCTTTTTATTTATGTTATTATTATTTATTAGATTATCATTTGTTTTCTTCTATTTATATTCCTATTAAAACTAACTTCAAGATAATAACACAATTGAAACATTTTGAATCTTAAACCGTTTCAACTTCAATTTTCCCTTACTATTTCTATTTTTTTAAATTTCTTGAAAAAATCTCTTAAAAAGACACTAAAATAATTCATATCCTCATTTGGGTCATTGAATTTGTTAAAGTCTTAATCAGGTCACATGACCTAAAGGGCAAATTTAAAATTCTATGAAATGACTCTAATACCCCATCATTAGAAACTTAGAGACATGAGAATTTTCTATCATCATTCTCACGTTGTGCAAGAGTTCTTAATGAGAAAAACTTGGTGTTTACCATTCAAAATCCAAAAATCGATCAAGGAGCTAACAGTGAGTGAGTTTTTATATTAAGTCTTCCTTCCTTAACTTTACAAGTGTTATATAGAAATAGAAAGTTGTTAATTTAGAATTAAGACATGTTAACTACGAAATGGAAGGCTAAAGTATACTTTTAGTCCTTTAACTTTACATAAGGTTTCATTTTGGTCTCTTAACTTTAAAAAGTAAACTTTTAGTCCTCTAACCCTGGAACCATTAACAAAAAATAATGATATTGAGCTTTTGAATGTTGATAAAATATTACTAAATACTGTAATGTTAAGTTTAATTTTCAAAATGACCATGATCATTACAAAAAATCATCATTCATGACTAACAATTTAAGGATTAAAGGACTAAAAGTACACTTTTTAGAGTTAACAGACCAAATTGAAATCTTATATAAAGTTAAAGGACCAAATGTATACTTTAACCCGAGATAGAACATGTTAATTTTCAAGGTTGTATTGTGACAAAATTTTATTCAAAGACTTATTGAAAGTGTGTTAGAGAGGCAAAAAGTTGTTAACTTCAAATTGAAACATGTTAATTAAGAAATGGAACATGTTAACTTTTGAGGTTGTATTGTGATCAAAAATTTTATTCAAAAGCTTATTGCAAATGTTATAAAGATATAAAGTTGTGAATTTAGAATTGAAACGTATTAACCGTGAAATGAGATGTATTAATTTTTAAAGTTGTATTGTAACCGAATTTTATTCAAAGACTTATTACAAGTGTTATGGAGACAAAAAATTGTGAATTTATAATTAAAAAATGTTAATTGTGAAATAGAACATGTTAATTTTTAAAGTAGTATTGATATCAAGTTTTATTCAAAGACTTATTGCAAGTGTGTTTTAGAGACGTGATGCTCTTAATTTAGAATTAAAAATTGAAATTTGTTAACTACATAATTGAGCTTATTCATTTTCAAATTGTGAATTTATAATTAAAAAATGTTAATTGTGAAATAGAACATGTTAATTTTTAAAGTAGTATTGATATCAAGTTTTATTCAAAGACTTATTGCAAGTGTGTTTTAGAGACGTGATGCTCTTAATTTAGAATTAAAAATTGAAATTTGCTAACTACATAATTGAGCTTATTCATTTTCAAGATTGTATTGTGATAAAGTTTTCTTTAAAAACTCACTACAAGTGTGTTATGGAGACAGGAAGCTCTTAATTTAGAATTAAAACAAAACAGAGAAAAAAAGCGATGAATGAGGGCGAGAGAGAGACGGGTGATGGGGACGACAGAGGAGGTTAGGGTAGTGGTGAGCAGATTGGGAGATAGGAACGAGACAAACTCTTGAACCTAGACGATACCCCAATGGACTTTGCCTTTGGTAAAGGAGGTGAAGAGGAGAAGAATGCAGGAGTGTCAAAGGAGAAGGTTCATTCAATAGTCAACTAGAGGATGATCCCTTCATCATATAAGGAGAAACTTTTATCCTTAGGATGTGGAGGTTTTTTGGTGAGGCATGATGAAACTGAAGACATAGTGAACAGGTGGAAGTCCTTTTTTGCGAAGAAGAAAGGGAACGAAGAAGACAACACTAATAAAGATGAAATTGATGGTGTAGATACAGAGGGGACTACTGCCAAACCGAAGTATCCCACCTTAAAGGTCACGGCAGAACAATACACAGCTTGGTGCCAACCATGGATGAACTCCTTGATAATCAAACTGATGGGACTCCAAGTACCACGGCATGTCTTTATTGATAGGATTCGAAGAATGTGGAAACCAAAGGATTTGATGAAAGTGACTCTGCTAAGTAATGACTACTATATTATCTCATTCTCGAGTAGGGAAGACAGAGAATATGCATTCCAGGAGGGCCCATGGATGATAGATGACCATTACTTGCTAGTTCAAAGATGGAGGCCGAAGTTCAACCCATGGAAAGCAGATAATCAAAGAAAGATCGCCGCCTGGATTCGCATTCCAGATTTACCAATGGAGTTCTACAATGTGGAGTCTTTGGGAATTATTGGGGATATGGTGGGCAAGACAATCAAAGTAGATCGGTTGACTTCAATTTACGACAAAGGAGGATTTGCATGTATATGTGTTGAGATCGATCTTCAACAACCCTTACTCTCAGCGTTCACTGCTTTCAGTGAGAACTAACAAATTGTTTATGAAGGTCTCCATCAGGTATGCTTTCTCTGTGGTAGGTATAGACATAAGAGACCTGACTACCCACTACTAGCCGCCACATCTATGAGGGACTATTCTTCCAAAGACCATATTGTTCACACTACAAAAATAAGTGATGAAACAATTGATCAAATTTTGACGACGAGTAATACCCTAACGGTGCTCAACGTTCATCTGGGTCCCCAAATATTGGTTAGCCGTGATTTTCGCAAGAGTAATCCAAGTGTGGATAAAAGGGGATCACATCGCAGTAATAGTGTGGCAGAGAAGAAGGGATTAAATAATGGTAGTTCTAGAGCAGGAAAAAGGGAATCAGGGACGAGTTTTAATGCGAACAATCAGTCACAAATAAAGGAGAAGGACCTAATCAAGATGGTACATTAGCCAATAGGATCCCAAATGGATAAGAGTGCGAAGGTGTCGGGATCAGATATGAATGAACGCAAATTTGGAGTTGAAATTTCAAATAATAACATGTGGACCACTGTAGGATCAGAAAGGAAAATAGTTGATAAGGTGAAACTAAGAGGAAAGGAGAACAGAGCCGAAAAAAGGAAGGTAAAAGTCAGAGAGGGGGTACTGATGGATGATGGGTCTATCACTGACTTCAATCCTTTCTCATCTCTTCAAAGTGGGCCTAGTGATGCAGATCATAAAAAAGCCCAACAGGAGCAGACAGCTTTGCTACTAGACCCGAAATTGTGGGGATGGATATCACCCACCCTCTTAAAGATAGACCTGCATGCTACTGTAAGGCCCACGTGCATGTGGGTAGTGGGGACGGCTTCACACGCAATGTAATTAACATTACAGATGCTCCTCAGGCCATGTCTAACCAAGGTTCACATCAGGTTTTGGGAATGGATATTGCTTTAGTGGAGAACATGAAATCTTCACAAACACACTTCGTTGTTTCTCCATGAATTACATGATATGGAACTCAAGAGGTACAGGCTCAAAGTCATTTCCTAGCCTGATATAGGAAATTAGAAAACATTACCACCTGGATGTTCTTGCCTTAGTAGAAACACGTTCTAACAAACAAAAGACTAAAAAAAGGATAGGAACTCTTGGCTTTCAAGATTACACCTACATCAAAGCTAAAGGATTCAGTGGTGGAATTTGGTATCTCTAGAATGCGAGAGTAAGAGAGTTAGTGGTCTTAGAGAAACACTTACAATATATCCATATGAAGATTAAAAATAGCAAACTTGATCAATGGTACATGACTATTATCTATGCCAGCCCCCACCTGGTAACTCGACGAACATTATGGCAGGAGCTCTCACGGCTGGGTAGAGATTTACGAGAACCATGGGTCCTTAATGGAGACTTCAATGCAACACTCTTTGAGTTCGAGAGATACTCTACTACACCCCATAGCATTTCATCCGACTGTGACTTTTACATCTGGTTTGAGGAGTCAAACATCGTGGGGCTTGGTTTTGTGGGACCAAAATTCATGTGGAAGAGGGGCAGAACTGAAGCATTATTGGACTGGTTTTTTGCCAATGAAAGTTGGAGTTAGAACTTCCCAAACACAATAGTCTCTCATCTCCCTTTCTACAAATCAGACCACCGTCCTGTGTTACTCTCACTGGAATGTGGCTATGAGAAACCGCGATGACCTTTTCAATTTATTGCTTCATGGGTTCTTCATGATAATTTCAATGACTTCATACAGGAAAAATTGAACGAGGAACTGGAAAGGAATCCTATGCCTATTTACCGAATCTTGTTCCCTTTGGAATAAACAGGTCTTTGGGCACATTGAAGGTAGAAAAAGGAAGCTCATAAGACGTCTTGATGGCGTAAACAGAGCTATTGAAAGGGGGTGGAATGTGAAGCATTACGAAGACATTCAAAATGAACTTTGGAGGGAACTAGAAAAGGTTATCACCTAAGAAGCTCTACTATGGGCATAGAAGGCACGATTGAATTGGAGTGTATATGGAGATAAAAATACAAAACTCTTTTACTCCCATGCAAACGGCCGTAGGAAGGCTAACAGAATTGATGCCATCAGTTTAAAAGTGGGTGCACCTCATTCTTTGCACATCTATTCTCGGAGGATGCCCCTATCCACGAAGCCTTGAGGTGTAATATCACCTTTCCCCCTTTAGACGAGATATACCTATGAATTTGCAGTCGCGCTATTGAGGATGCCGAGATAAGAGAAGCTGTTTTCAATATGTGCCCCTTGAAGTCACCAGGACCAGATGGTTTTAATGCATTGTTCTATCAAAACCAGTGGAATACAATGGCATCCTCCCTTGTTAGCTATGTCAAACACATCTTTGCTAACCCCTATAAAATCAAGGAGGTCAACGGCACTTTGATTGTGTTGATACCAAAAGAAAGATCACCCAAAAACCTTCAAAGATTTGAGACCTATTAGCTTATGCAATATCATTTACAAAGTGGTTACTAAGATCGTGGCCAACATAATGAAAAACTTCAGGCTGCAAATCATCTCTCCAAACCAGTGTGGTTTTGGTCCCAGCCATCATAGTTCTGATAATATCATAGTTGCACAGGAAGTTATCCACTCAATACGCAATAAGAGAGGGAAGAAAGGTTTTGTGGCAATCAAAATAGACCTTGAAAAAGCCTATGATAGGGTCAATTGGAACTTCTTAATCCAGTGCTTGAAAGAATTGAACATCCCTTCGCTCTTTATTGAGCTCACCTCTTACTATATTAGTACGACCAACCTTCAACTCCTTTGGAACGACAGCTTAGCAGATTCTTTTAAATCCACAAGGGGAGTGAGACAAGGGGACCCCATCTCTCCTTATCTCTTTGTTATCTGCATGGAAAAGATGGCTCATCTTATTCAAGAACAATTGCAAAATAATGATTGGAGACCAATTTGCCTAACTAAGAGTGGCCCTCCCATCTCCCATCTGTTTTTTGCGAACAATATCATTTCGTTCGCGGAGGCCTCCTTGCATCAAGCGAAGCTGATTAAAAATTATTTAGATACCTTTTGTTGTTGCTCTGGTCTAAAGGTAAATTTTTCCAAGACCCATGTGTTCTTTTCTAGTAATATGAATCACAACAGAAGCATAGAGATTAGCAACCATCTAGGCCTTTTACAAGCGACAGACTTGCATAAATATCTTGGTGTCCCTTTACATCATAAGAGAGTGAGCCAAGACTCCTTTAAAGGCATCATTGACAAAGTAAAAACCCGCCTAGCTAATTGGAAAACGAACGCCCTTTCCCTTGCTGGCCGGTCAACACTTATATCATTCATAACCTCTGCCATTCCCAGTTACAGTATGCAAACGTCGCTTCTTCCTGCCAGCTCGTGTGAGACGTTGGATAAACTAAATAGATGCTTTTTGTGGGTTGGTACTGGCGATGCTCACAAGATCTCTCTAGTGGCATGGGATGAGGTCTGGGCCTTAGTCTGCAGCATGCTAAGCTTCAAGACCATGCTTACTTAATGAGGATAGGATGGAAGCTTGTTAAATGCCGACATGACTTCTGGGTGCATGTCATTTGAGATAAATATCGATGTGGGGATGATCTCCTCCCAAAAATTGAGACTAACAGAAGCAGATCCAATGTCTGGGCATGAATCAAAGCTACTTGGAAAAACGTAGAGACAGGGATAGAACGTCTCGCTGATGAGCCAATGTCAAGTGGAAACATGATAGGAGTAGAAACTTCTCGGTTAAATCAGCATATAATCTGCTCTTACAAGCTGACAGCAGAACTGTTTTCGCGTGGGATAAGATTTGGAAACTGAAAGTGCCACAGAGATGTAGAACTTTAATGTGGCTTGCAACTCACAAAAGTCTCCTCATGAATGCTACTAGACATCAATGGGGTATGAGTGATGATGAGTCCTACCAGGGTTGCAAACGTTCAGTTGAAGATGCAAGCCATGTCTTCTGAGATTGCTATGAAACTAAATGCTTATGGAAGAAACTAGTCCCACTCGACATATAGAGAAAATTCTGCTCCCTAAGTCTTGATGAATGGTTTAGATGGAATATTACCACAAAGACAATAAAGGGAGAAGACTAGAAAGACCTGTTTGCCATGGTTTGTTGGTGGCTATGGAGATGTCGAAACCTCACTATCTTCAAAGGGAAATGGATTACCAATGAAGCTGTCATCGCTAATGCCAACGCCTTGATCACAAATCTTAGTGAGGTCCAGAAGCACCTCAGCACGGTGCCTTTACAAGGTGTCCGACGTGTTGAAGCTCCCAACAGATGGCAACCACTTGAAGAAGGATGGATCAAATTGAATGTCGATGGAGCCTTCTCGGCTATCACAGATTCCGTTGCCTGTAGAGGAGCTATGAGGAACTCTGCTGGTAACTTTCTACGAGGCTTTATTTATAAACTTGATGAAGGAGATGCTCTGTCTGCCAAACTGTGGACATGCTTGCATGGCCTAAAAATTGCGTGGGACGACGGACATCGAAATGTTATTCTTGAATCGGGTGCGACAAATGTCATTGAGCTTCTGAATGTGGAACCTAAGGTCTGTCATGCTGATTATAATGTTCTCCAAGAAGTTAGGACCCTACTAAGCAGAAACTGGAATGTGCGTTTAGGTTATGTGAATAGGGAATGCAACAAAGCTGCCGATTTTTTGGCTAAAAGAGGACTTGAAGCTATGCAAGGCTTCCATTTTGTTACTAATGTTCCCAGTGAACTGGCTTCTATTTTGAATTTGGATTGCACTACTGTCAATTCAAATATGCATGTAGAACCTTTATGAGGACTCTCTGCTATCAAAAAACAAAAAGAATTAAAACATGGTAACTGTGAAATGAAGCATGCTAATTTAGAATTCTTTCTCAGTTTCTAATAAAAAGGGCATTGGAGTCATTTCATAAAATTTTAAAACTCCTCTTTGAGTCATATGACCTGATTAGGAGCTTGGTAAATTTAATGACTTAAATAAAATTTGGCTTATTTAAATGTCTTTTTAAAGAATTTTTCCTAATTTTTTATATATATTTTACTAGATACACATAACATAAATATTTGTGATTATTTCATTCAATTTGATTCTCTTTAAATCTCTTATTTCTTTAATCTTTTAAATAGTAAAAAATTTACTTATTCCAAATTTTTTGTGTATAACTAATTGTAAAACCCACATAAAATTAGGAGAATTTTAGTTAGCCCCTTTAAAGCAATTTAATATCTAATAGCCCCCATAAGATTCTAAAATTTCATTTCAATCTATTTGACCAATGTGAAATTAAATGTTATGGGTAAGAATACAATTATGCTTTTGCTTCTTTTTTTTTGGTAAAAAAAAAAAAACCTCGTTGGAGCTTTGGCCTTCGTGGCTGGAGCTTTGGGGGTTGGATAATTTTTGTTAAAAATAAAGTGGCCAATGAGGTTTGAACCTATGACCCCTTGGCACTATAACCACCAAGCCATACAATCTATCTAATTATATGATGCAATATATATATATATATATAACAAAACAAATGCAAATGGTCAAATATAAATAAACAACTGAAACATGGCAATTCATAACACATATTAAACAATTCATAAGAGGCATACAGGAATTCACAACTCCATTTGATGTACTATGAAGAGAATAAACAACTAAAGTTAGACAATTTACAAAATTAAGAAATTTTCAAAATGTATATGAGAATTCACAACTCCATTTGAGGTTCTATAGGGGGGAAAAATCAAATGTTGAAAGTTGCATCAGCAATCCAAATAAGATGATTTACAACACAACTTAGACAATTTTATTTCTTTTATTGTGGGTCCCTTGCTCTAATGTTTGAAGCAAGTTTATTGCTTTTATTGCTTGCAATTCTTATTCATAAATATATATATTTTTCTATTTCTAATAAATTTCAATTGTGTTGGATTCGCAGATTGTGTTAGATTGAAATTAATTAGATTGATGAACCACAACCCAAGCTTGAGTCATTAGAGCAAGTATTAGAGGAAGGTAATCATCTTATTTTAATTGTTCATGCAACCCTTAATACTTAAATCATTAGAGCTAGAGCAAGGGATTCACAGTAAAAGAAATAAAATTTCCTATTACACATTAGGCCCGAGTCTGCCATTGATGGGCCAAACTACTTGATCCAAGAGAAGAGAATCAATCATAAATCAAAAGCAGTTAATGACTGATGAGGAAATATTCAATCAAGCATTATGTACTTGATTGATTAGGGAGAAATCAATCAGACATTTATTGCTGATTGTGGCGTCAAAATATTATCTCATAATAAATGAGGAAGATTGCACCTTCCTAAAATAAGAGCTACCCTGGCCCTATAAATAGGAGGTGCCTCTATCTATTCTCTTCACCCCTGCTATTGGGAGTGAGTCCATTCCTTAATATCAGTGGTTTAATTTAACATTAATTACTCTTTTCTTGAATCAGCCGTACTCTTTTCAAAATGATTTCGTAGGATTTCATAGAAAGCTTTGATTCTTTCTTTCGCTTTTGTTTGTGTTTGGGATATCAATATTATTTTGCTTGGTGAACCATGATGAATCCATTTCCTAAAAAATTATGACCCATTGGATCAATTTTACAAGATTTGGTATATGTAAGAATAATAAAGGATTTCTATTAAATTCACATGAGCTGGTGTATTACGGTTCATAAAGGGATAAGAGTGTTGGCACTTCTGGAGCATCTAAAGCTAACCTTCTAGCTGAAATTCTGTATTGGCTGGTGTACATATGTTGTACTGATTGTGTACGACAGTGGTTATCAAATGAGGGGTTTAATATTTTATTAAAAAAAAATTTCCAAAAAAGAAATCTCAACTACAACATTTCTTGTCAGTTATAATAGACACTATAATTAGTTAAATACGGCGTCTGGTATGCACATCAACAAACGTTGTAATCAATCAATTACGATGTCTGTCATGAGGTATACCAGACGCCTTACACATCTATTATTTTTAATTAATTTTTTAAACCACGCAATTCAATTATTAAATACTCTCTTCTGTTTTTACCATAAAATTATAATAACCGACTTGTGGTTTAAAACTTTTGTTAAAATAAGTTAAAAGTAATAAATATGTCAAGAATGCATTTTTTTTCAAATATACCCTTATTTATAAGAGAATGAATGAGAAAGAGAAATAGTAAGAAAAATGTGAAAGAGAAAAGAGATAAAATTGGTAAAAATGCACTTACTGTTCAAACAATCATAAACCGGGTAATTTTAAAAAGGATCAAACCAATTCAAAAATTAAAATATTACACATATGACTGGAGGGAGTGTTTATTTCATGTAGTTAAAAACATTTTTTAAAGCTAATCTATACATGCATTTGTGGATATACATATTAATTTTAAGAGTTGCGGCTGTAATTAATTGGAAAGATAGTGCGCGAAGAAAAAGCAGCCAAATTCTTCAAACGCAGAGAGTATCGCTTTCTACCCTTTTATTTTAATTTTTAATATGTAATTTTTCCTGATGTCAAATGAGACTTATTTATATAAAAAAAAGGTCTTATCAATTTATGAAAATATCAAATGCTACTCTTATATGCTTTGACGCTCCATTTCAAATTGTAATTATATTCTCATGTAAAATGCCAAAAATGCTCTTAGACCGACTATCATTAGCCAACCAATGGATCACCGGTCTGACCAGTTAAAAAAATCAATTTTAACTTATGTACCAGATTTTCTTGTTCATTTACTTTGTCGTGATTTAGGCACTTAGTGCTTTCTGTTTTTCCTGATAAAAAAGTCAATTTTAGGAGGTGTTTGGATATAACCAAACCATGGTTTGGAGAAAAGTTTCTAGAGAATAGATTCTGGGGAGAATAGATTTTTTGAAGAATAGATTTTGTGAAAAAGTGATTCTGAGAAGTGAGAGTGTTTGGATAGTTGTTACCAGAAACACTTTTTACATGTACAAATTACTAACAATGGCATAAGTTAATATGATAATTACAGAAAAAATATATTTTATGATATATTTTAATTTGAAGGAATAAAATTGTTAATAATATATTTTTTATTAACGTAATTAATAATACATAACATAATATAATTAATAAATAATTAATATGTATATATATTTATAAGATATAAGATTAAATGTATTTATAAAAAAATATTTTTATAAAAGAAAAACAACAAGAAACATATCCTATAAGCTTTCACACTCTCCCTCTTTTTTTTTTCCAAAAGCAAAAAATTTTTGCTTTTCCCAAAACCATGGTTTTGGTTTTTTTAAGGGTGTTTGGATGATATTTGGGTGATTTTTTTCCAAACCATGGTTTGCGTTATCACTCAAACACCCCGTTAGAAAAATTAATTTCTTAATTTTTTAACTTTTAACTTGAATATTGTAATTCAATTCCTCAAGTTTAACTTGTGACGACTTAGTTTCTAAAATTTGGTCGGTCTAACAATTTCTTTTTTGTTGAGTTTAATCCATTGAATATTGCTTACAGATTGGTTAAAAGCGTAATTCTTCTCAGTCCCAATCCAGAGATGGTTTGTTCCTTTGTTTTTTTACCTTTTCACTTTTCAGATTTCTTTCTTTATCTTTTTCCTAAATGTGTAATGACTCTTTTTCTCCGGAAAAAAAAAATTCCATTCATTTTAACACATAATGCTAGATATATGCTGACAATGCTGCCATGTAGGCAAATATTTAATGACCTAAACTCGATAAGGACAAGACTATAAAAGAGACAAAATTTTAGTAACTCAGTCACGATTGATGAGATAAACTTTAGAAGCTGAGTCATAAAATATTAAATAACTATTTTTTTCCAATAATTTTTTAAAAAATATTCACTTAGGTATTAATATTTACATGTTAAACATTAGTGATTTGCTAGTGATTAGTAAGTCTTTCAGATTTTCGAATTAATCTTCTTACATTTACAAATCACTTTCTTACAGTATTAATACTTTAACACATACTCTTAGATTTATAAGTTAATTTTTATATTTTTAATTATTGATTTATTCACCAACGGTTGGTATGACTACCTGTTAGACATTTAAAATAAATATAATCTTATAAATGTTACTCTTAGAAAACATAAAGCCATTACTTGAAAAATTACATAGTAAAAGGAATAATATATATACGTGTGTGTGTGTGTGTGTGTGTGTGGGGACAAATAATATCTTATAACGGATCACATAAAAGGAAAAAAAAAAACTGGCAAATTTAACATACAACTATCACCAAATAAGATATACACGCACACAAAAATTAGGATTGTACTTCGATTGAGTTATCATCATAATAAGGAATTGAATAGTGTTTCATTCATATGGACATGCCCATGTCATTGTAATCTTAATTCAATATAAATTAGTCCTTATAATTTTGATTCAGCTAAAATTAAGTCCCTAAATTTTTAAATCGTTTAAATTTAATTCCTGACATTTAAAACGATGAAACTACAGGGAATAAAGTATTTTTTGAATGTCAAGATGTCATACTATAACATATTCATGCCAGTGATATCTTACCTCTTGTTGTGTAACTAGGAAGGAACAAGGAATATTAAAAGTGCTGCTTATAATACTACTTTGAAATTAGAACACGTCCTATTAAAAGGTTAAATCTTCAACCAATGTTATCTTATCTCTCGTTATGTAATTTATAATTAAACGTTTAAGTGAGTATACTTTTTAAAATTTTTGATGATTTTCTAAAATTCGTGATTTTTTAACCTATTTCATTTTTGCTTAGACTCAGGCTTACTTTTCATTTCTTAGATAATATAATCATCGACTTACTCTATAAGCATCAACATATCAAAATTAATGGGTTAAAGGAAAACACATCCCTATAAACGGTAACGATTTCCCAATTTTCGGGAAAAATTGAACAATTTTCAGTTGTAAGTACATGATTGGTTGATTTTAGGTCATTGACCATGTTCAATTTTCAGTTGTATTGTTGGTGGTTGTCAAAGAAAAAGAATTATGCTTGTGATCTTTTATTTTCTTATCATAAAATAAAACGCAAAGAGTTGGGTCTCGTGGTACTAAACACCTGCTTCGAAACCTTTTTAAATGTAAAATTGTAAGTTTCAATTTTTTGTGAGGGGTATAAGAATGTCAGAATGAAAAAGAACATGCATTAGTATTAGATATACGAAACGAATTTAACAAGACAAAATAACATAATTAATATGGATGTTACCGAAAAGAATGATTATTAATCTTTAGCTAAATTAAGAATGATGGAGTACTATGCGGGAGGGGCTCAAGGGCCCTTCCAAATAAACCTGACTGCCTTATTTTGATGATAATAAAATCTTTGGGAGTAGCCCTATCTGTGACATATATCTACCAAGAAACTGTTGAAATAAATTGTGCTGCAAATTATTAGACTTGTTCCTTACGCCAAAAATAGCTAAATTAAATGACTGAGATAGACTCACTAGATGCTTACATAGTCGTGATTAATCCTTTAAACGCTACAAGTATGACTATCATACATCTAACTAGAATAAATACTAATAAAATTTTTAGATAGAATAGGTATGATATACAAATTAATATTCCACACACAAACTCTTGCTCCATTCTTAAGCTTGACGGATAAGAGAAGATTGTTTTGGGGGGGAGGGGTAAAACATCCCTCAAAAGCTCCCTAAGCTATCTATGTGTAAGTGATGCTAATTAGAGCAGCAAATTGAGACTCATTCCCATCGGTATTTTCATTTCAACATCTTTTCTTCATTTAATATCTCCATGTTTAATTGATGTTAATGCTTTCTTCATTTCTCAAGTTTTGAATGCTTGCATGAATGAAAAATAAAAATAAAAGAGAAGCCCAATAACCATTTCTATGGAAGAAGAGGGAACCCTTCTTCAAAAAGTTGTTATTCCAATAATCTAGACTCCCTGAAATCCAAAAACATTCAAAATATAATGTTCACATTTGCTCACTCCCCTACAGAAAACATAAAACCTTATAAACTATGTAATTTATCTTACAAAGAAACAATGACTAAAACTTCCATATAAAGATTATTTAACTAGTGCTGCATCTCTAACATCTTACATAAATATGACCTTATCTTTTTCAATGAGACGACAACATCAGTCATCATAATTCGTGCTTCAGGTAATTCAGTGCAACAACTTAATGCCAACTCAAAAATTGATGATATATGTGCTAATATATTGTTTATATTTGAATTCCCTTTAGGTAGCAAATTGACATCTAGAATATTGATGATTGAATGTGGTGTTGATTTGCTAACCCAATCTTTCAAACCAAGATCTTCCTCAAACATTTCATCGGTTGGCTTCTTCCTTGTAAATATCTCCATTAGCATGATACCATAGCTATACACATCTCCTTTGAAAGAAACCACTCCTTTTGATCCATACTCTATATGTCAAAAGAGAATATATGGTTTTTTGTTAAACTTTACTTTTGTATAGCTAATACAAATTTTTGCATATAGGAATGGAAAATTTATGTCAATCATTGTATAATATAAAATTTCACATAGAATAATAAAAAACAGACATAATTGAACTAAGATATTATTATTAAATTATTACCTGGTGCCATATAGCCAACTGTAGCTAATGTTTTTGTACGAGTTTCCAACTGTCCTTCACCTAATAGTTTAGCCATGCCAAAATCACTAAGATGAGCCACCATATCTTCATCCAACAAAACATTACTTGGTTTTATGTCACAATGAACAATTGGAGTAGAAATACCATGATGAAGATACTCTAATGCAGTTGCCACATCAACCATTATATTCAACCTTTGTAGGATATCTAAACAGTAGTTATGAGAGTACAACCATCTATCAAGGCTTCCAGTTGACATGAATTCCATTATTAGAGACTTGAAATCATCATTCGAGCAACAACTAATGATCTTAATGAGATTACGGTGGCGTAAATTGCACATAGCTGCACATTCAATATCAAAACTTCTCAATGCTTCTTCCATGTCTATGTTAAATACTTTGACAGCAACTATCTTTTCATTTGGAAGAATTGCTTTATATACTGATCCAAAACTTCCAGAGCCAAGAAGATTACTTTCATCAAATCTATTTGTTCCCTGTAAAAGCTCATAATAGGATATCCTAGTTGGTGCATCCAAATTTGTTAAATCCCTTTTGGTTGCATAGTTAGAATCGTCTCTGTTATGCTTTAGAAAGATAATGCTTGTAACGACCAAAATGACAACCATGATAGGCACTGAGCATTTTATCACCAGCATCACTTTGTTTGATTTGTGTTTGTTTCCTCTCCTACATGGTTGGACTTGTAGTTGGGATTTCCCACAAAGATTTTTATTCATCATAAAAGATTGAGCGGTAAAATTTTGAAAAGGACCACCATTTGGAATTTCTCCATCCAACAAATTGTAAGAAAGATTAATGTATTTAAGATTGAGTAATGACTCTAAGGACTTTGGAATCACACCAGATAAATAATTATGGGAAAGGTCCATGGACTCTATGCTTATCATGCTACTAAATGATTGAGGAATAGACCCTTGTAATTTGTTGTTAGCCAAAGATAGAGTTATCAAGGTTTGCAAGCCACCCATAGTTGTAGGGATGCTTCCTGAAATCTGGTTTCTTGACAAGTTCAACAATATAATTGCTCTAAAGTTTGATAACTCTGGCGATATTGATCCACTCAATGCATTGGACGATATGTCTAAAATTAAGATATCTTTGAGACTCCAGAAAGAAAAAGGTATATGAAACATCAATTTGTTGGAGCTAAAATTCAACTTCCGCAAAGAAGTATTCCCGAGACATCCTGGTAATGCTCCCGAAAACATGTTGTTGGCAAGATACAACTCACTTAGACTTTTGAGTTGGCAAAGTTCATTTATGATGGAACCCTGCAATCTGTTGTTGCTGAGACTTAAACGTTGAAGTTTATGTAAGTTGCTAACTCTGTCTGGAATCAACCCAGTCAAATCATTCCCATCCAAAGCTAAGTCGAACAAGTTTTTTAAATTTCCAATGACATTGGGTATAGATCCATTTAATTTATTCAATGACAAATTTAACTTAATGAGCTTAGAAGCATTTGATATGCTGTTTGGAATTTGTCCAATTATCTCATTATCATCTAGTAGTAAATTCTCCAAGTTGGGAAGGCCAATCCCTAAATATGATGGGAGAAGGCTAGAGAGGGAATTATTGCCAAGCCTTAAGTATTTCAATGTTGAAATGGTGAATATACTGAAAGGAATAGGTCCACTCAAATAATTTGATCCCAAATCTATGATTTCAAGTTTAACAAGACCGCCTATGTCCTTGGGTATAAAACCTGCCCAAAAAAAAAGATCTGTAAAAAGAAACCGAAACAGGTAATAGTGTTTGCGGATAACATGGTAAAATATGTTGAATGATATAGGTGAATGTTGAAATGTTGAATATATTAAAAGGAGTGGTCCTTTCGAATGATATAGAGTCCAGCTTGACACATTAGGTTTATCGAGTTAGCCTGTGCTTTTATGTACAAAATCTGGTCGTAAAAAATTGGTGGAAATCATGACTTCCATATAATTCAATAATGATTTGATAGGACATTAATGAATTTACGAAATAGAAAAGAAACAGTTCAAAAAAACTTGCAAAAGAAAATTAAACAGTAAACGGATGTATTCTCTAATTACGGTGCAGGAGGGGAGCAGTAGAACATGCTAGTGCGTGTGCGTAACATGTGCGGCTCATATATATGGTATTTAGCTTTTCAATGAACAGAGTATAAATCATATGGAACAGAATACTTAAATATTATATTTTGTCAACAAACAAATGTCATTTTAAATTTATTCTATTCAAGAAAATGATTAAAAAAGTAAAAGTAAGGCATAACAATATCATTTTAATCTGCTTTTTCACTAATTTATCTCCCTAAGAATTTGTGTTGGTGCAGTTAAATTAAAAAAAATTGTTTATAATTTACTCAACAGAGCTAATTTGAAAATATTTATTTAATTTCACAACGTGTAGAATAATTCTTCTTTAAACAAAAACGAATTTTTTGCCCAATTAAACATAAATGAATTTAAATGAAGAGATTTACTTGTTGAACAATTGAAAATAATATCTCGCATCATTGTTCATCAGTTTGAGTTATATTTAAATTTTTATTTAATTTTTATATTATAATTTTAATTGATTTTTATACTTATTTAAATATTTTTTAATGAAAATTTTTAATTCTCATGCTGTGATTTTTTTAAAAAGTATCAATATAATTTTAATTCTAATTAAATGATAGATTGTTATGCATATGCGTGCACGTGCTCACACACAGGCTCCAAATTTGTGTTTACTTTAACATTAATTTTACCATATTATACAAAAACTGTCAAATATTATTAACGATGGTATGTTTAAGAATAATTCTCAAACTTACATTAAATATATTAAAATATTTCAAGAAATATTCATTTCAACCCAAAAGCATAAAATACGGAAATAAATTTTTTTTATTTATTTAAAACTTTGTGAAAATTTTGAAATAAGAAAAATTAAGAAAATCATAATTAAAATTACTGTGAAAATGACTTCTATAATTTTTTAAGAAATAAAAATTTTTATACTGTAATTGTTCAATAAATATTTAATTTGGAATTAATGAACTTAAAAATAAAAAATATAAATAGAAGTTAAAGAGATAAAGAATTTACTCTGGAATAAAAAGAGAGAACAAGTGCACATGGTGATTTTGGGCGCACCCATGCACACACACATATGCAGGTTGCATACTTTCTCCATTCGGTTGATTTTGCGTATTTTTCTAATTTCATATTTAATAATTATTCAAAACTTATTATATGGAAAAATTTTATTGTCAAAGCTTTACTTAATTTCACAAATAATTGACCGTGGAACAGTTTCTCTTTAAATCCAACTAAATTCAAACTATTAGATTCAATTACTTGACTGACTATTAAAAACATCTTGTGTTTTCGTTTTTTAGTTTGAGTTTAAATTTTCAGCTCAAAAAAGTTTGAGTTTAAATTTGGTTTAAAAAGGACAAAATTCCCTGTCCCACGTAAGAGCTTTTTCTCTCTCCTCTGTGAGAGTTAATTACGGCTGTTTATCATTGATCTTGTATTTCTGAGGGAATTTTGCTCCACCACCCACTCCGACGGAGTTTCGAAGAATGACTATGTTATGGCGCATTGTTGTGACGTAAATTTTTGAGGGCCTGGTGCAGGCTTAAGGAGTTTTTAGTGGATGTGTGAGTTTTTGCAATAGTGGAAGGAAGTACGAGTGGTTTGTGTCAGAAGGATGGTGAGATGGAGGTGAAATTGATATGGACATAAAAGAGCAAAGGAAGATTAATGGAGGTGCATTGGTAGGGAAATTGGCGACTGAGAAGAGTTTGAATAGAATCACAACGATTCATATGATCAGAAAGGGCTGGAATCTGATCAAGAATGAGGATATAGAGATACTGGATGTTGATAAGCACGTGTTCATATTTGAATTCAAACATCGATCAGATTATCTGCGTATTCTGAATGGAAGGCCATGGTTGATAAAAGTGATTTGCTTAATGTTCAGCCTTGGGAAGAGGATATGGTAATTAGCGAGGTTAATTTGAGAAGTGCCCTTTGTGGATTCAGTTCCATGGCTTACCACAGGGAGCTTTGGATATTGAGAACGCTGTAACTCTAATATCGCTGATTGGTGATGTTGTGATGGTAGAAGATACAAGGAAGAATGACTCATTCATTCGTATATTCTTATGAGTCAGAGTCTTGGTAGATCTGAAGAGACATTTGGTTACCAGAATGTGGACGTCTAAACCAGATGAAGATCCTATACGGAATAAAGCAAGGCATAAATGCTTACAGATTTTTTGTTTCAAATGTGGTAGAATTGGACATGAATTTAGAAGTTGTGTGTTGTTGAGTGAGAAAGGCTTGAGCTGCGAGAGGAAATTTTGCAGTTGGTTGAGTGTGCAAACTGCCAAAAATATAGATGAGGCTATTAGAGTTTGAAGAGAAGGATGGGAGGAATATGATGAAGCTTTTGCAAGAAGAGATTCTCCTGTAATTACTGAATTTCAAATTGATGTCAGGAGGAAAGGGAAGGATGTTCTGGAGAAGTTCGTAGGGGAGAAGGATTGTGAAGTGATAGGAGCTTTACAAAGAAAGGAGAACTCACTAGTTGAAAAGGAAAATATGAGCAGTATGAATTCAAATGTGACTGAGAGGCCACAGGAATGTAAGGGGAATAGTTAAAAAGTTGAGTTGGCAAAAAGAAGGATTGATTTGGAGAAGTTGAAGGAAGCAAAGATAACTGGCAGTGTTCTGAAATGTAACTCTAATAATATAAAGGCACGGAGTGTGGAAGTGAAGAGTAGGGGGGATCTTTTGAAAGCAATTGTGGTTGATGGAGATGCCTCTCCAATGTCAGAGGTTATTGCTAGTTTGAAGAAGGTAAAGTTGAAGAGAGGATTAGTGGAGGAAGTGGATTGCAATCGAGTAAAAGAAGAAAGTTGTGTTTTGAGAGTAATCCTAATGAATCTGTGAAAAACAAACAAACTATCAAAAACAAAAGAGGTTGTGGTAGTATTAATTTGATTAAACGCTAAATGAGAAGGGAGGCAGGAGAAGGGGAGGGAGGAGTCAAGGAGGCCCTGGTTTAATTGAAACGGAGACAGTGGAGAAGCTTTTGAGTCAAAGTATGATGAATTGTGCTTAAGATCTTAGTGGTTGGCCTAAAACAGCCACTAAGGGGCCATGAAAATCCTAGCACGGAGCTATCAAGGTCTGGAAAGAGCCTTGACAGTTAAGAAGTTGAAGGAAGAAATTTTTTAAACACAAACCTTCTATAACCTTCTAATGGAAACAAAGATGAAGAAAGAAAAGATTGGTAGAATTAAAGAGACGTGCAGAATGGAGGAGGAATTTTATGTGGAGTGTAATATCCCTAATTTCAAAGCTAGCAATTACTAAGATGTTTAGGAGGCTTAAAGAATTATTTAAGGCCTCAGAAAAATAATTATTCCATAAAACCTATTTTCGGGCAAGAAAATCAAGAAAGGAATAATTATTAAAAATAGACAAGAATAATTAAGGAAAAGTTATAGATGATCATTTTGGGAAATAAAAAAGTTTATGGAAGATTTTATTTTCCAAAGAGGGTAGAAATAATTTAAAAGCTAATTTCCTAAATTAAAGAGTTATTTTCTTGAGCAATTAAAAAAAATGGTTAAAGGTTGATTTTTAGTCTAAAATTTTAGGACAACTATTTTATGAGTTAAGAAAGTTAAATGAGGAGAAAAGTTCATATAATGTGTTCAGATTAATTTTTGAGAGTTGTTTAATAAGGAAATATCAAATAAAAAAAGGAAAAAGAAATAGTTAACTCATTACCCATGGGTTGAAAGTTATGTGGGGCACATTCCAATTAGAAGCCCAACTCGTGGGTAAATTCCAAAATTTCCTTTGCCATGACATCTCTGCTTCTTCTCTATATAGAGCACACTTTGCCCTCACTCCACTCGCGCACAAACATGAAAAGGGAGGGGCAGAGAGGGTGCGATTTGGTGGCAGAAGAGACAAGGAGGAAGAAAGAAAGGGAAAGAGGAAGATTCGACGCATATAAGCTAGGATCCAACCAAGGTAAACCTTCTAATGCTCCTCCTACCCTCTTTCTCAGCGTTAGAATACTACTTGGAGAGTTACAGTGACCGTAAGTTGTTGTTGAGGGGAAGGGGGGAAACATCGACAGATTTAAGAGATGCTTTATAGGAGTAGAATAAAGCTTAAGTAGGAATTTTGTGGTGTGCATGCGTTTGTTCTGTTTGACTTTTGATTGCCGAGACCGAGAATCTCTTGTTTCTTCTCTATTATATTGACTATCATAAAAAGGGGTTCTTGAATTTAGATGACCGATTTTGTGTTTAGATAAGAATGGCATAAAATAATCGCATGCTTGTGTATGTGTGCGTGTATGGTATCGATGGATTAATGCTTGGGACTGTGAGGTTTGAATTCTGAAATTTAAGAGCTGGAATAAGTTTATTCATTGAAATTATTGTGAATATGTCGTGATAATTCAAGGTCGCGTGGTTATTGGATCAAAAGTACTAATTGCTGTCTTTGATTCTCTCTTGCTAGTTTTGCTTAATCAGTTTAATCTTGGAAATTTAATACTCAAGGTGGCTTGGTATTGATTATTCTCATTAACTCAAGTCTAAAGGGTGGCTCTTGGAGTCTTTTGAAGCTAGCTAACTCCCAAATTAATTGAAGTAATGATTGTCTAAACTATTGTGCTAGAGGATTGCCATTTCATTGTCATCGCTTGTTAGTTTTCATATTTCATTTCACTCCTACCATTTTATAAACTAAAAACCCAAAAATATTTTACTCTTTTTGCATTTTAATTTTTGCCAAATACTTGGTTAAAAAAAAAAAAACAATCCTTTTCCAAGTCAATTTTTATAGTTTTGCATACTTAGCTACTTAGGAATTTCTCTAAAGGCTCCCTAAAGTGAATACGACCCAGATTTTGAACTATATTACATTAATCGGTTTATTTTGAAGTGGACTTAAGGTGACTAACGGATTTTTCTTCACAAGAAAGTGTCCAATGGTGTCTCACTACTTTTTTTGATGGTGATGCTTTATTTTTTGTGAATGCAAGAAAGCAGAATTGTAAAATGTTGAAAGGCATATTAGATTGCTATTGTAAGGCTTCAGGACTAGCAATCAATTTTGATAAGTCCTGTTTGTTTTTCTCAAAGAACACAAGCGAGGATTTTAAGAGGGAAGTATATGAGGTTTGGATCTTTAAAGCAACTAGTGATAGTCCTAGTAAATATCTGGGAATGCCAATGATGTGGGAAAGTCAAAGTCAGAGGCTCTTTTGTTTGTTAAAAACAAGTTTAGTTTGAAATTACAGAGACAGAAACAAAAGTTGTTGATGTTTTCTGGGAGGGAAGTGATGATTAAGGTAGTAGCAAGCACAGTACCTGTGTTTCCTATCTCCTGTTTCAGATTTTCAAAGAAGGTTTGTGTTGAATTGGATAGCATGATGGCAAGGTTCTGGTAGGGTCAGAGGGAACAAGAAGGTAGAATACACTAGAAATCTTGGAGTTCGCTAAGCCTTTCAAAAAGTGAAGGTGGAATGGGTTTTAGGAATCTAGAGTTGTTTAACAAAGCTCTCCTTGCTAATACTACATGGAGGTTGGTTCAAAATACAGATGCTTTATGGTGTAGGATTTTAAAGGGTTTGTATTTTTCGGATAGTGACTTTTCGCAAGCAAAGCAAGGTTAGAGATACTCTTCAGGTTGTCTAACATTTTAGAAGGAAGAGATTTAATTAAAAAAAGATCTTTGTTGGAGAGTAGGGACTGGAGAGAGGATCAGAGTTTTTGTTGACAATTGGATTCCTGATGCTAATGGGTATGCATTGGCTTCCAGAGATTTGGATGAAGAAAAAAGAGTTTGACTGTGAAGAGCTTAATCAGGAATAATTCTTGGTGCTTTGAAGCAATGAAAGATTGATTCAGTGATGAAGATAAAGCTCTCATTAACTCTTTTAATACTGCTGGATCAAATTTGGCAGATAAGTGTCTTTGGATGATAAGTAGAGATGGTAATTATTCTCTGAAGTTGGGGTATAGGGTAGCTAACTTTAGGCAGAGAAGACGGTGGAAGATTGAGAGCTCCAGGAGGTATCTAAACAGCTGTGGAATCAATTGTGGAGGCTGAAGATCCCTCCTGAGGCAGCTCATTTTATGTGGAAAGTAGTGAGTGGAGCTTTGGCCATCAAGGAAGCTCTTTTTAGAAGAAAATACTCTAGTACACCTACCTGATATTTGTAGATGTCAGGTGGAATCAATTAAGCATGCTTTATTTTTACGTCTATGGGCTGAGAGATGTTGGTTTGGGTACCTTTGTCACTAAGATTCAATAAATCAAGGATGTGTGATATGGCCAGGTGGATGGAGGAATCGAGGAATCAAAAGATGGGACATGATGATTTTAGTATCACTCTTTTTGCTACCACCTGCTGGAAAATTTGGAAAGCTGGGCGCAGGCATATTTTTGGATGCTATTAGATGTGTAGCAAGGGTGTTAAGGCTAGTTAGAGATTATGATGGGGCTCAAAAACAAAGGGGGAGACATAAGATGGAGGGCAATGGTGTTGAAAGAGCGAGAATT